AAAAAAAAATGTACTTTAATGACTTGCGTGCCTTTTCCCATTATCTGCTAAGATTCATTAAAAACTATCATTGCTTTGTCTGTAAATTGCAGCACAAATCTGTCGGTGTGAGGACAGCATCACCACAAAATGGCCACCAAATGAGCAATAAAATGGTGTTCTCGGCTGTGACAGTAGGGTGCTGAGGGTTGGCTATGTGTAATGCTGCCCTAAGAATGTCATTTTTGTTTGTCGCCTAGCAGCTTATTGTCAAAGATCTGGAGACATCCTTCAAAAAGTATTTTTCTAAAGTAATTTGACAGTTTGCAGGGCAACACGCTTGTTCTGAAATGGAGTCGGCTAACCTGCAGTTCTGCAGTTCATACTGTAAGATAAGACTATTTATATAATCCTCTCCTGCAAAGTGAAAGCAAATGTCTTGTACAGGGAAGCGGAACCCTATACACAAAAATCAGGACTACCTGTACAGACAAATGGACAATTTATGGTAAATGGAGAGATAATACAATGGGGAAAAAACTATTTTTGTATAATTTTTGTGCACAGTAAATTTTCTTGTAATTTAAACAATACAAAATTGCTTCTGACAATTTTTTATTTAATGGATGTGGATATAATGTTGACCTAGAAAGATTTAAAGTTATTAAATATTCAAAAACTATGCAACTTGAAAAAAAAAAAGAAAAAAAAAAATAATAGAATGTTTTTGAGGGCAACCATATTCGCATATTACATATGCAGGGTTTGCTCTATTTTGCAGTACTAAACAGTGTTTGTGCTTTAATTCTGCTCACAATGCAAGTCTATAAGTCTGGGAATCCTCTATCAAGGCACCTACAGCTGTTGAGAGAATAATTGCATTGCGACCCTGAGAGCTTCCACTGATGGCTAATCTACAAATTTTTATATTTAACACAACAAAAACAGGAAAAAGCTGTACAAATTTAAAAATCATATTTAAAGAATATTTTAATGTAAGCAGTACAATAATAACTGCAAATATGCACTGTACTTTGCCTTAAAACATATAGTTAAACTTTGACAATATCTTTTAAAAATGAAGACATTTCTGATTGCAAAAACTGCTTTAATACATACAGAACCTGTCCAGTAATCCCTCTGAGCTACACTGCACTGAGCCTCTTATCAGCAAGAAAAGGGCCATACCCAGAATCAATATAATGCTCTTTGCAATACAGCAAATTTCAACTCAATAAAATATCTCTCATAAGTTATTTTTGGACCTCGTTTTTAGAGCACAATTTTATTTTAGGTTTTTATGTTCTTCCAAATGAAAAGCTCTACTCACCATAAACAGCAGCTTACTACCACAAAAGGCATAATACAATAAAAAAACATCTTTAGAGCTGTAGCACTTACCCAGGCATAGCAAAGCGCGAAGGAATATCATATGCAGGTTCAGAGTAGTTGGAATTACCAGTCCTAAAGCAAAGCACATATTTGCCATGTGGAAAACCAAGTGGTGGATCTCTCTCCAGTTGTCACACACCTCCTCCTCCTCCAAAGTCATGTTCAGGAGGGTGCCTGTAGCATTTACTGGTAGCACAACAGTTAATATACTTTCAGTAGTCATCTTTAGAAATCCTAAGGATCTAGTAAAAAAAAAACAAGGATAGGATTATGAAAGGCACACCAGCTTTAGAAAAGATACCCACCGTTCCATAGCCCTTCGGACCTAAACTAACAACCCCCCTAGGTAGCTGCTTACTTGCCTGAGTAGGATAGTTGTGGCCTGCTCTGATGTTTACTCCTAGGATTACACTTGTGTTAAGCAGCACACAGGAATGTTCTAGGAATGCAACAAACAGTAGTAAGCTACCGTATGTTGCCTTAGTGTTTTAGAGTGCCATTCAAAATGATGGCAGTGGGAAAACGTTTTTTACTCAGGCAGTATCTGCTTTCTTAAGAAAAATAACAAAGACCTTAAACACCTTTTATTTGATGTACCTGGAATATATTTAGCGAATTTGAACTAAAAGTTAATTTGGACTTTAAATGAATTGTCAACAGATTTTCTTTTCATATAGATCACATAAGGTCCTGCTTCATGCAATTACGCGTGAATGAAATACCGGGCTGTGTAAAATACTCCTGCTGTCCATGCTTTGGTAGCAACCCATACATCACCTAAGTAGGATATGTTGCAGCCTTTACAAGCAGTTCTTTAGCCTTGCTCTGTCAATCTTTGGGTGGATGCCCACATTCTTTCACACCATTTCAGTTCAATTATCTATTGGCTCCATGACAAACTCAGAAAGGTAGCACAATGTGTGGAATGGCTGAGGACCATTACCGTTTTTGTTAACAACATGATAGGAAGGAAAACTTTAGTTGGGCAGCTATGTTTAGAAAAATGTAGTAGCCAGGACTGATGGATTGGCAATCCTACTGTTAGATGTGATTGTGGCATGCACATATGCAATATTCTAGCTCAGTTATAAGCTGTCAATATTCTCATCTGTTTACACTTTCTCTCCGTGTGTAAAGTTGCACATGCGTCTTTTTTGCAGTAGCCATTACACAAATGAGAAGATGGGCAGCCATTAGCAGGAAGGGGCAGTGCATCATACAGGGCACCAATACCTTAAAGAAGAACTCTGGGCAGAATAAAAATTAATTCTTGAGGTGGGGCGACGGAATAAAGAAGATATACTCACCTGAGCCTCAATTCTGCGGCAGAGACCACTTACCTCTCTCTCTCTCCCTGCGCTCTAACAGTGGAGGTCGCTCGGCGTCCTTACGTCTAATACACTGTACAGGCGAGTAAATAATACTCTGTATTAGACGTGATGAGTCATAGATCATTAGACTGCCAGAAACAAGGGGAGAAGAGGCTGTGGGCACCGGTCTAGCAGCCAGGTGGGACCAAGGATCAGGTGAGTACAATTTTTTTTATATTAGACCCTACACCAAAACAACCAGTAAACTCTTGCAGTGCTGGGGTAGACTCACTGCAAGGGTTAGTTTTTATTCTGTCTGGAGTTGTTCTTTAATGAAACAGGGGGCAACATTTCATTTGTGCAAGGAGTCTACCTTTAGAGGAGGGGTACTATGGCACTGATGTAAATGAAATGTTGTAGGACAGGTCCTGCATGTTCATACAACAAAATTACCACTATATATTTAATGACTGAGTCAAAAAATGCAGCATTTTCATACAAGACATGGTTTATTTTATTTAGCCATTACATCTTCTAAAAAGTTGAAACTGCCCGTAGGCATCAGAACACAGTCAGACGTACAGGCACAATTTTACCCTCTTTAGATGTCTTTCAAGCCAACTTGCTGCAAAACCCAGATGCTTGGCTAAGCCTTTATATTTAAGATATAAAGAGGAGCATGCAAAACACACACGGGCACCTTTAGGCTTGTCTAGGGGGAAACATTGATTGGACGATGTTTTCAGCATTTCACCAACTTCCAGAGGACCAGATGGCAATTTCTGCATGACATCCGTGACAGTTTTCATACACAAATATCACTATTCCTAATAGTGAGAACCACTTTCAGCCCTTCATTCTGGCCCATCACTATGATGGATGGTTGTACTGGCCAATAGAAATAAGGCAGGTGAGGTGATCCAGGCTTTAGGAGAATCAGGAAGGGTCAATTAAATCAGTTCCCTTCAGGGCTCTGGGAGTGCTGGAGAAAACAAGTAAAAGGGCCAGAAGATTATGGGGTTTTTCACTCAGCTGCCAAAGGCAGCCGAGTGAATAACTCAGCCGAAGTGAAGTGAGCCGAACGCAGAAAACAAACGCAAACAAATGAAAAAAAATGTTTAAAAATTATTTCAAAATATGTAAAAAAAAGAAAAAGAAAAACTAAAAAAAGTTAAGAAAAAAAAATTTAAGAGAAAAAAAAAACAGCGTGGGGTCCCCCTCCCAAACCATACCAGACCCTTTAGGTCTGGTAGGAGAGTTAGGTGGGACACCATTTAAAAAAAGAAAATAAAGTGTGGGCTTCCCCGCAAATGTCATACCAGACCCTTCAGGTCTGGTATGAATTTTAGGAGGGACTCCAAAGTTGAAATAAAAAAATAAAAAAAGTATGTGGGGTTCCCCCATAAAGTCATACAAGGCCCTTAAGGATCTGGTATGTATTTTAAGGAGGAACCCCCAACCCCAAAAATGGGGGGAAAAGGCGTGGGGTCCTCCCTAAAATTCCATACCAGACCCTTGATCCGAGCACAGGCCTGGCAGAGCAGGAAAGTGGGGGGACGAGTGAGCGCCCTCCCCCTCCATACCAGGACACATACCCTCGGCACTGGGTAAAGCACCTTCACCTGTGTACACAATAATCCTTGCACCCGCCCTTGAGCCCGCGAAAAGATACACCCGCGCCACTCTTCTGTTTACTGTGCGACCGGTATTGCAGAGTGTTGCTCCACCCCTGTCGTATAGGCGTATGCATGGTCGAAATTGCACGGGTGTTTTGTGTGGGGGCTTGGTTAGTGGGTCGGGTGAGTAGGAGTGGGGGGCCCAAGAAAATGTTTGCCCAGGGCCCAATCAGTATTAAAGACGGCCCTGACTGGGAGGGTGCTTTTCCAGGGTCGCTCCTGTCATCCAAGCCGAAAGTTATGCATTTGGCTCGGCTGAACCGCTCAGCTGCCTTCAGCTGCTGTACGGGCTATTGTGAATAGCCCCTACAGCAGACCTTCGATTTGACTGAACCGAAGGGCTCAGACGGCCGAAGCGAGCCGAAGCTACGGCTGTATACTTCGGCTCCTTTGTGCATAACCCCCTAGTCTTTCATTATACTGACAGGCGTACTTTAAAGGAAGGAGATGCATTACCTGAAAATGAGGCTGCATAAATTGGATTTTGAGTGCTTGGAGAACATACCATGTTAACAGCTGCCAAACATTACTTGCAATGAAAACAGATGCACTGAATGAAGTCCCTCCGTTGAGACATTTTACATTAATTTCTTGATAAGCACATAAATATATCTATTTTTCCAAAGTAATAGCATCTAAGTGAAGTGGTACTTGTGACTGCTGAGGCATTTTACCTAGAGGTTGTGTATACCTGTCTGCAAAGCAAGATGATTATATTACAGCCAAAATCTCAGCTATGATGTGATAAACAAGCCCTTTTCACTTGTAATATATCAAGTGACAGCACATTTGAAATTGATTCTGAGCAGCTGTGCATTTCAGAGAGCACTTTAAAAGAAATCTATAATATTTTTTACATTTTCCCCCCAGATATGCAAGCGAATGTGATACGTTTAATGTCAATATTTGTATTAACCTATGCCAATACTTTCAAAGGCTCCCTTCTATTTCTACTTCCAGATTCAAGGCAACCCATAAACTCAAAAGTGGGGGCTGCCATTGATTACCTCCTTTTGAAAACACTGGTTGTCTGGCTGTCTCTGGCTTTAACACTTTGAGTCACGGACCCAGAGCAAGCATTCTGATTAGACAGGAAGTGTGAGTGGCACAGGCACAAAGGAGCAGTGGAATCCTCCATGCTTCCACCATACATGGCATAACCTACAACGCAGTCTGCTCTGTGGGTTTCAGCAGGGACGAGATGTCAGACTGGCAGCCAGATTTTGACCTGTTTTTGGCTGCTTCTTGGATGATGACTGTAGCAGCTTGTTAAAGTGATCATTAATGGCTGTGATGTAATTTTGTTTAACACATTGCACATTTTTATTTTGCATCTGTTACACGAAGATGACAGGCATTCCCTGTACTCTTGGGCTAATTTCAGCTTCAGAAACCTGCATAGGCTATATACACAGAGGAGGCTGTGGAAGGGTGCTAAAAACAGGCGGTTGAGGCATGTTTTACCACTCCCTAAATGTGCCATGGCAGCTGCTGAGTACTCTACACATTGCCACTGCCACAATGCTTCACAGTACGACAAAGCTCACAAGGGGGCAGACTTTACCGCTCTCTGAAAAGCAATTTGCAGTGTATTGCTTTTCAAAGGGCAGTTGATAGCCGATTTACAGGTGTTCACATACACACACGGGTGCTGCCACACATGCACATGTGTAAATGGGGGCTTAAAGCTGTGACAATGCCTGGACACCACTATAGGAAGTACCTTCAAGTGTCTGCATGTCAATTTAGATTGCCTACTGAATGCACCTTAATCCCCGAATCTCTGGTACACAGCTTTCAAGAACCTGACTCTGCCCCCTCTTGTACCTCTCTTCCACCCAGTGGTTGGCCAGTAGGAACAAGGGGTGGGTTCAGCCTCTCCAGTATGGGGTCTTGCCAAAATATACATGCTAGAGAGTGCCAGGAGTTGGAGCTCCTTGGGTGCCCAATCAGGGCACCGTGACAGAGTCTCTTTAAAAGCCTACCTGACAACCTTTTAATGAGACTTGTGTAAACAGGCATTGCCGTCAAAAGCAGGTTTTTGGAAATTAATGCAATGGAGCTCAAATGCATGCAAGGCTGCTTTTGACCTGCTCTGTCGGCAATTCAAATAAACCTCCAGTAGGACATGCTGTGGTCAGAGATAATGAATGCATAGCAGGTCATGCACAGAACTGTTATCCACATTACATCCGCATTGCAAATACGACAAACAGGCCAACAACACCCATGTACACAAGGCCATACT